AAAGTAATGCACTAGTAAATTAAAAAAAATTATGAGCGACCTTTCAAAATTCAAATTTTGAACTGAAACTTCCAGAAACTTACTTGGTCTAGGAAATTATACCGTAATGAGAAAAAAATTGAATAAAAAAAAATTCGGTTTTGGCGATTTTCGAAATATTAAAATTTGGAGAGGAGCTACAATTTTTTTGAGCTGTCTTTTGGAGGGGGTTCTTAAAACATCGAAAACTAACATTTTTTCACTCGAGATTGAAAAAAAATAGTCGATTTTTTGCGTCACCCTACTATCCACAGTACTCCCTCCTTATCAGTTCTAGCCACTATGCGCCAGAGACAGACCTTCAGTATTTCTTCCACCTAAAATGACCAGTGCGGCGAATAACTTTAGCTCTGTCTTTAATTTCGTTTTAATGCAGAGTTACAAGAACTTAAAGCTTCCTCTCGATTCAATTTTAAATCCACTGTATATACATAAGAGCTTTTCAAAAGGAATATTGGCGAAGATTCTAATTTTTGACAGATTTTAAAGTATTTATATGTACATACGTATTGGCTACCTTAGAAGATTGGAGATTGAATATTGAAAGAAATCATCCATGATTTCTAATTTCTCAGTTGGATGAGATGATAAAGGTGTTTATGAGGGTGGGATCGAAAGAGGGGGTCTCCCCCACCACTGTACCATAAAAAGTTCGTGGCGGTCTCACCCCTATCAAAAGTTATGGGGGTTGAAAGTTGATTATTTTGACAATTTTCATACACTATAATTCAAATAAAATTCAATAAAAAAATTATTTTCAAGCGGGTGGAGGTGGGGGATCGAAAGAGGGTGGTCACTTGAACAAAAACCGATACGATAAACTAACCTAACCTACCCTATTGATAAAGGTATTTAAATAATGTTTTATATAACTTTCTCAATATTTTTATGTATTTTTCATTAGTTTTTCCTTTGAATATTGTTTAAGAATGACTATATAAATATTTACATGCCTAGAAATGTATAAAAATTGGCATATTTATTAACTTTGAACCCCCATAACTTTTTATGGGGGTGAGACAGCCACGAACTTTTTATGGTTCAGTGGTGGGGGAGACCTCCTCTTTCGATCCCCCCCACCCCATCATATAGACCTTTACCGATGAGATAATTACTCCCTAGTGGATCACTGGACCTTTAGCTTTTTTTCAATTAACTAAGGAAGTAATTCAGATGGCCAAATGGAAACCAATCATAGCGTCACAGCGGGCCTGTGGCCATCACTAATTAAGTACGAAAATTAGCAAAATTAATTTATACTGATTAGTCCGTGATTCTTTATTATTGTTTGTTCTTTATCGTGTTTATAAAATTATTGTACATAATGTAGTGCACGTGCGTGGATACGGTATATCAGCGAACGTGTGTTGCGCGCGGGGGGGGGGGGGCTTGGCAAAAATTTAGAAAAAACTAACTCTTATCAGTGCGTCCGTCAACATGAGGTCATGAATGTTTTGTAGTGTAGGTACTCCACAACTAATCGCGAGGTGCAGTAGTGTTTTCTACGCGATCGCAACACCGCGAGTGTTTGTGTTTTCCCCATACCTACACGTTTTGATAGCGTGTCGTGTTGGTGACTGGAAAAATAGATAAAAACGCGTCGATTTTCTTTTTTTTCAGTATTTCTTTTTCTGCCGTCTCGGCAAATATTTCGACTGCCGCGTACGTGTGGTACAACTACAGTTTGAAACTTGGAATATACTTTGTTAATGTGCTACATGTTGAAGCATGTATCTAATCCTAATTGGTGCTTGTTGCATGGGAAAACCTTTGATTAAGTTGACGGACCCAGTGTACATTTTTTGTCGACTCTAATAGGATTTTGCGATTTAGTAGACATTGTTGTGTTTTCAATTATCATTAGACAATGGTAGCCAACAAGGATGTAGCGCTTGTGGAAGGCAAAGATCTTTGTCCTTTAGAAAAACCCAGCATAAAAAATTTGGCTGTGGCACTTTGGAAATACCGGTAATTAAATTTCAATTATAATTTGTTATACATAATTTGCATTACATTACAAATCCATCATTATAAGGTCGTCAGTCCTAAGTTGGTTGGAAACGCACCTCCACCCCTTCCTATATCCTGAGTTAATCTTCGTATTTCCCCAAAACTAGAACATTCCACATTCTTAACTATTTGCGAACAGTAATCTAATCTATAGTACCTAGACGATGGGTGACTGAAAAATAGATAAAACTTAGATTTGTATTAGTTTCAATTAAAATTCTCCAATGATGTGTGAGAGTCTAATTTAGTAGCTTAGCAACAAATAACTTGGTAACATCACCGCAGTTTATAAAACCGGATATAATTCTAAAAACAATACAACAATCATTGTAAAAATGCATATGAATGAATGTCAATCAATTTCTAATGTAATAGCAAAACAGTCATGGTTCATGGTCAAACGGTAACATAGGTAGGTCTAATTAGTTTTAAAGACAGAAACATTAGAAAGCTGTGTTGTAACTTCTTAATCTTGTTAACAGATTGATCAGTTTTGCCTTAATGTTTATAAAGTCTTTGTAGTTTCTAGCATGTAGTAAAAGATTAGCTTTAGTGGTACACTCACGCAGATAATTTACAAAGGTCAAAAACAACAGTGGACCTAGGTGGTAGCCCTGCAGCATCTGCTGAATTAGCAATAATCATCGTAAGGTCTCGTCAGTCCTAAGACTGGTTGGGCACGCACCTCCACTCTAGAAGATCCCACATCCTTAACATTTTGCGAACAGTAATATAATGTAGGTCTACTTCTACCCCTCCTAACTCCCGTTTCCGCTTCTAATATGTCACTGACTAAACCTTCATGCCTGAAAAGGTGTCCTACCAACCTATCTCGCCTATTTCTTATATTCCTCTGTTCTCCAATTCTTTCTAATATCTTTTCATTTCTAACCTTCTCTATCCACGGTATCCTCATCATTTGCTTGTAACACCACATTTCGAACGCTTCTAACCTTTTCTTTTCCGCAGCGCTCACCGTCCATGTTTCGCACCCGTATAGAGCTACGCTTCAAACACACTTTTAAACAACCTTTTTAGAATCCCTAAATTAACCGTTCGCGAGCATAGAAGTGATTTCTTTTTATTAAAGCCGACTCGACCCTGCGCTATCCTCTGCTTTATTCTCTACTACTCCTTCCGTCCTGACTTATCTGACTTCCTAAATACCTAAAATCAGTCACTTCTTCTAATTTTTCGTCTCCTATCTTTATATTAACTATTGCCGTACTTTTTCTTCCCTTGCATACCAGTATTTTTGTTTTCCGTGTATTTATTTTCATACAGTACAGTTTTGTCAATAGCGCTTCCATTTTATTTAAAGCTATCTTTAACTCTTTGCGACATGTTAATACTGCTATATCATCTGCAAATCTAAGCATACTTATTTTTTGCCCCTGTATATCAATCCCTACAGTTGTACTGTCTTTAATGATGTTGATCGCGTCTTCTATGTATATATTAAAAAGTAACGGTGGCAGTGTGCATCCCTGTCTAACTCCCTTCCTAATATTTACTTCTAAACGTTGCAGCCCCAGAAATAAAACGATGTGGTAATCTGTTGCCTATCTTGTTTGTAAACAAATTTTCTCCGCAATTTCAATTCTTCTACTTTTATAACTGAAATTATTCTATTGACAACGGTCTGAACTTTAAATGGTCCATAGTCCATATAATGGTTTTCCTTTCAGCTAGCTTCTCACTATCAGTCGATCAGTTTGATCCGAGGGATGTTTTGCAAACAATCATGTGAAAACCGCGGTGGTATTTTGGGGATACGCCGATTAGTTTAAAAAAAATTAAGTAATTGAAAGATTTTTTTTCTTTAAGTTGAACTTCCGATTAGGTTTTTAAATGGGAAATGACGTACTCAAAAATACAGAAAACTTACAGACAAACACAAAATTTACCTACCAAAAGCAATCTTCTAACCATTTACATTTGCAGTCGACTCAAGAGAATACTGCACGTTAATTATAGTTTGATTACCTTGTTATTTCCAAATGCCTGTAAAGTTTTTGTTTAACGCATAATTACTGTATAATTGGCGTGATATTGTTTGCAATATACCTACATACGTTTTCTACCCACAAATACGAGGGTGGATTGATAAGTTTCCGGCCTGACCAAGAAAAACAAGGTTTTTAAAAATTTTTTTTTTTTATTTCTCAACATAATCTCCTCCAAGGCTGATACATTTCTCATAGCGGTGTTCCAGTCTATTAATGCCATCTCTATAGACTGATTCGTCAAGCTCCTCA